TTGACTTTCAGAATGTTTTCAAACAAGAGTTTCAGCCTTGCTAGTCGACAGATTCCACATACCTGTACTCAGTAGGCTGTGATAGTGCTATCTACAAAACTGATAGTTTCACATTTTGGTTGTTTGACTTAATGTGCTGTTATCAGTCGTTGTCTGTCATGGAAATTCAACTCTTCCTGGAAACAGATATTTGATTAGTCCTGTGCCAAAGCATGCCTTAGTAACAAAGCAGGATGTGGAGGTTATAATGGCTAACATGAAGCATATCTTACATGACTCTGGAGAGCAGTGATTAACTTGACATAGCAGCAGTAATATATTTTTCACATCTGTCCTCCTCTTGCCATCAGAGTGATCAGTCAACTTATTGAAAGGCTCTCTCTCGCCCCTCTTGTTTCATAATCCAAAGCTTCTTTAGGATTTTTTTAAACTACAGTCTGACAAATCTATACATAACCCTAGATGAGGTATAAGTGTGAAATACCATACTTTTGCCATGAGCAGTGATACTACCAAGAGGGTCTCTTCATATTTTCCCACTACAGTACTTCCTTGCTTTTCTCTCTCTTCCTGGTACTTGTTTTATCATATTAAATTTGACTCTTATCTCAAACTCAAAGACAGCAGTGATGTGTAATGAGTATATTGATTTAAACATTAAAAACACTTGTTATTGACACACAATACTGGGCTCATTTTAAAATACTATTATAAAAACAATGGCAAGATTTTATGGTGTTTGAGGTTTGTATGATGGGGTTCAAGATGTCTAACAAAGTTACAGAATTCTTACAAGTTAGCTAAAGAGAATTTCAGCTTAACAGTTTCAATAAATTCTACTGGTCTAGGAAAACAAGCTGTCCTCAGGTCCTTCTAGTTGCACACCTCATTGCTGTTGGATACACAAATAGCAACAGCTTTTCAAAGCATCCATCTGTGGCTGGCCAAGAGACTGTAAGCCATCCTATCTCGCACCATCTCTGCCACAGCAGATCAAGTTTGTGGGATCTCCAGACAGGATTGCTGTCATATTCTCTTTAGCCATGATCATTGCAACCTTAGGCTGCGTCTAGACTGGCATGATTTTGCGGAAAAGTTTTTCCGTTAAAAGTATTTCAGCAAAAGAGCGTCTAGATTGGCATGGATGCTTTTGCGCAAAAAGTGCTTTTGCGCAAAAGCATCCGTGCCCAGTATAGACATGCTTTTGTGCAAGAAAGCTCCAATGGCCATTTTAGCCATCGGGCTTTCTTGCGCAAAAAATTAAGGTGCCTATCTACACTGGCCCTCTTGAGCAAGTATTCTTGCACAAGAGGGCTTATCCCTGAGCGGGAGCGTCAAAGTATTTGCGCAAGAAGCACTGAATTCTTACATTAGAACGTCAGTACTCTTGTGCAAATTCTCGCAGCCAGTGTAGACAGGCGGCAAGTTTTTGCCAGTCTAGACTCACCCTTAAAGCTTCAGGTGATCCAGGAAGCAACAGCTTACCTACTTGGCAGCACTGGTTACAAAATGTCTACACTGCATACTAAACCAGTCTGTGGGATGTAAGCTTGTGAGCTTAGTGCATGGGTGTCCACACTGAACTGTAAGCCTAGATTTACAATTACTGAACTGGGGTCTCATAACTGTGCTAACATATCCATACCTCACTACACAGACCTTCTGCCTTACTTTTGTAGCTTGACCTGTATCCATGGAGCAAAACAGAGTCACAGTAATGATTTTGGTGGCTGATGTATATACTGTCCTCCTTGGATCAGCAGTGTGTGTCCTCTCCAGGAGCACTTCCAACAACCGAAGCGGGCCGTGCAGGGGGGTTGAGAACCAAGGCTCTCAGCTCTGCATAGTTTCCCACTGGGAGAGGGGAGAACAACAGCCTGGGCTTCTCAGCTCCCCACCAGGAGTGAGGCGGTAGCTATCTAGGCTTCTTGGCTCCCTGAATAGGGAGCAGGGCATGTGCAGCCCAGGCATCAACCTGTCCAGGAGCGAGGCACCCAGGGGCAGCTGGACTCCTGAGCAGGGGCATAGGAAACAGCCTGTCTAGAACCAGGGAGCTGGGATGAAGGGCAGGTGGGTTCTAGCTGGAGCCCATCACCAGTCCAGGCTTTCTTGTCAATTTCACAGCTCCAGCAGGAAGCCATGAAATTGACAAAAATGACAGGCACCTGCTGATGTAAGTATCAGTTTCTATCACAAATAATGCATCACGCTAGCTACACGGACATAAGCCCTACGCCTCCTGTGGAGGTGAAATTGTATCAGCATAGTAGGGTTCTTATACTGGCAAGAGCAAGGCTGTAATGTATACACTGACATAATTAGGTTGAGGTAAGGCCTAACTATATAATGGAAGATTAATACTATGACTTGATTTGCAAGTCTGCCTAGGAATGTCCTCCAACTTCTATTTTGGTTATTTTCCCAAATGGGTGTATACATGCAAATATATCTAAACTGAATTTAACTCTGTTTGATTTCTACCCAAGATATACGAGTTAAATGTGTCACAAACAACTTTTTAGAACAGATAGATAATGGAGTAGAGTACCGGAGGAATTTTAAACTCACCTTCACTAAGCTCACTTGGCACTCACCCAATAGCAATACTCTATAGGAAGCTAACTCTCTATAAATATGTTAGAACATCGTCTTAGAATCACGTGAGTTAGAAACTTCAGTCTAAGGGGCTGCTTATGCGAACAGCGGGCTAGTAATCTAGCCCAATTCCTTTTGTAGGCCAGCAGGACCTACGAATGTTCAAACTCAGAACATGAGCAAAAAAGAAGCAATATGTCTTGCGTCACTCAAGAGTTGTTTTTCCTATTGCATATAGCTAAAAGGGTGGTAATGAGGCTTAACCAACCTCCAAAGAAAGTTCTTCCCATTCCTCAACTTACAAAACTAGAGGATACAATGCAATGTGGGACTAAAACAAGGTGCGGTGGTGATAGAAATCCAGAAAAGACCAGGGTGGGAACTGGAAAGCAGTCATAGAAATGTATGGCTATGGTACCTCAAAAGGAAATCTATGGGGCCTCAAAGGGAAATCTATAAGAAAGGACAGGGAAGCAGAAGACAACTGAGAAAAATAATTGGAGACTGGTCTTACTAAAGCTGTAATTAGTATTTCTTCTGCTGAAATATAAATTCCATCTATCAATTACCGGCATTTACACAGGTCTGTCACATTAGAGATAATCAGCTACCCCCAATACTATCACATTAAGAAAAGTCAGTTCTGTAATGGACTCAAGTGTTGCAAGACTTTTTTTTTGGCGGGAGAGGAAGTCAAGTTCAGAAGAGAGAGATAAGAAGCTTGAAATAGATGCAGATATTGGTATGCAATCTTCATCTTTGTTTAACTGCATATTGCTATATAAAATCAGAAACACAAATGTAGAAAAACAAAATAAATCAGACAGTGTTTGATTACTTATCCAAATATTTGTCCTTAAAATGTCAGCAATTTCTTCCCCACACACAGTTCAGCAAAAGCCACTTTATCGGATTAGATGAAATAATAAACTTTATGTCAAGAAGACAGTATATTTATTACACTGGTATTGATGAAACATACGGAAAGTCACTAGACTTTCCTATTCATGCTTAAGCATCACCAAATGGAAACTAAGGTATTGCATGCTATTGCAGTTCCCCATTTTTGGCAGTTTTACAAGCATAAACTGTACTAGAGGTTTTTTTTTTCCCCCCTCCTTGGACAACATTCAATTAAATATAAAACCTTGGTCTTGCTTCAGTGGTGATAGAAGTTCTTGAACCTGTACAAGTTGTTCTAAAGAATGATTTAGTATTAACACACACAACAGTGTTCACTGAACTTGAGTCATTGTTCAAATCAGATTTTTTGCCTATTTTCCATAGACTGCATATTTGTCTGATCATGGAAACCATGTTGCAATTAAAAAAAAAAAGTTCCCCACCTTCCAACTAGATACATGTATTTTATTGTAATTTCTACTGTGACTAGGTAAGTGTCTGGCACTGGCCTTTCAGAGAGGGTTATGACTATATTACAGCTAGATAAAAGTGAGGAGATGGGGCATATTCACTACCCCCTTCAATTTTATCTAAATTATGTTAAAAGTGCCCAAAATATCACAGAGGCAAGCACCTTACAAATGCACATAATAGTCAAACATAAATTCATCTCATTTCAAACTTGCTACTTATAAAGTTATTACATTAATGCCAAACTTGCTACGCATCAGGCATATAGGAAAAAATAATCCCTGTTACAAAAACAACAGGATGGGGGAAGCTTAAAGGCTACCATACCATACTAAACATAACACAAGGCACATATCAGTTCCTCTCCCCACTGGTGTGCCCCCATTTGGCATCTTTGGAACTTATCAGAGAATTACTAGACTATGTTTTTTCGCCACTCTCATCTGAGGAAGTGGGTTTTGCTGGCAAAAGCTCTTGGTACTATGTATATGCATATGTATATTTGTTAGTCTCTAACTTAAATTAGAACAGTATAACAAGCGCAACAGATGTTCATGCAACTAAAGAAGACAGAGACCCATTTTTTAACAGCATGAAAAAGTTCTCCCTCTGAGACAGGATACATCATGTGACAGTCACTTAAAACCTGAGCCAGGCTTAACTGTGTTCAGCTGGCAGGCAGGGAGCTGTCGAGTACCCTGCAAATACTGACCACAAACTTCAATGCAGCCGCCAGCGCTCTCCAAGCACACAAAGGGGGCTCTGCCCAAACACCACCTCTAGTACCAACACCCAACCCTCACACCGCCCTGGGTTTATTTTTGTCCCTGGCCCGAGCCTTGGGAGCTCAGCTGATCTAGCTCCAGGCTACTGTGCAGTTGCTCTCCAGCCGCCCGGAGAGCGCCAGAAAAAGGGGGGGAGGGACTCGCTTTTTTCGTGTGGTTTACACTCCGGGACGCAGCGAGCCGGGGTCGCCAGGGTGCGGGGGCTCCAGGCCACCCCCAGCCGGTGGCTCGCAGGAGGGGGGTTACCTGCAGTGTCCCAGATGGAGATGTTGTAGGGCCCCCACTGTTTGAGGTAGAAGGCGCCCCCGACCGTGCTGATGGTGTCCTGGAAGCGCCTCTCCATGTAGCGGTGCAGCAGGGAGGTCTTGCCCACGTTCATGTCCCCCAGCAGCACCACCTTCCCGTCCGGCTTCTTCATCCTGCGCGCAGCCCGGCTCAGCCGCCTCGGCTCCGCGCCCGCATCCCGGGCCGCCAGCTCCTGCGGGGCCACTGGCCCGGCCGCCCTGCCAGCCAGGGGCGGGCTCGCCCCGCCCGCCGGAGGGGAAAGTTGGGAGGCTCCTGCCTGGCCCTCTCCTCCCCTTGGCCGAGCTCCCGGCAGGACGGAAGAGGAAGCCAGGAGGAGTCAGAGCAGGGATCCAGCCCAGCTGGGCCACGTGGGGCCAAATTCAGCTCCTCCTCCTCCTCCTGCGGCCCCTGGGCTGTCCCCTCCCGGTGTGGTGGTGGTAGGAGATCTGCTCCGGCAACTTTCTTCCCAGCCGGAGCTGAGTCATAAATCCCCTCCTCTTCCACTGAGACCAAACAGGGAGCAGTACCTAGCCACCATGCGTGCAGCCTAGGTCAGCTCCCAGCCCCCTCGGTTTGCATCTAGGTAGGTGTCTGAAGTGAGTCTGTAACTTTAAAAGCAAGGAGTAGTCCTGTGACACCCAGGGCTGGCCCACCACATTTTGGCACCTGAGGTGGGGAGCTCTAATGAGCCCCCATGTCCCCTCTTTTGGGCCAAAATTTTGAAAGGTCTCAATTCTGCCTTTTCCTGTTCTACTCCTCTCATGGTACTACTCTGCTACCTACATATGCACCAGCAGCAGACACAATTTTCTACACTCTGGGTCCTAGTGGCACCTCCCCCGTCCCCACAGTCTAGCACCTGAGGCAACCACCTCAGTTCACCTCACAGTAGGGCCAGCCCTGGTGGCACCATAGAATCTCTCTCTATATATAAAATCATGAGCTTTCATGGGCAAAACCCACTTCCCCAGATGAGCATCTATTTAGAGCTCTGATAGAAATGTAGCCGTGTTAGTCTGGTGTAGCTGAAACAAAATACAGGACTATGTAGCACTTCATTGTATCCTTTGGTATATATGGTTGTGACTATTTTCTTCCACTGAGGAAGTGGGTCTGGCCCACGAAAGCTCATCATCTAATAAACCATCTTGTTAGTCTTTCAAGTGCTACATAGTCCTGGCTCTGTATCTCACTTATTGTCACCATGTCTTCCTGATGTTCTCCAAAGAAAGGCCCATGAAGAAATTGACCATTCTGTGCTCAGGCCAGAGTTTCGGTGATAGGCAGTAAATAAGGCCATACATTGAATGATGAGCATAAAAAAGAAATAGCGATTAGATCCTCCATTAGTGAACACCACAGGCTCTCCTGTGTGATGAAGGAAGGGCAGGGGTAGAAAAAATAGGATGTTATTTAATTAAAAAATATGTCCCTCAGATTCTCAGAACCCATTACACATGTCAAATAATGAAATAATAAGCACAAGGAAAAAATTAGAAATCCAAGGAGGGTATTAACCTACTTCAGAGTTTTTCTTGTGCTCACATGGTCAGCAATTTTTTCCTTCCATTCATGCATTGGATTCAAAGGCCACCAGAGCTAGCAAACTGCAAATCAGACTAATCCTATCCAATATCCTCTACAGTGTGGAAAGTAAAGGCAAGAGTGTTAGCCTCAATTACGAATTTTCAGGAGGAGTTATGGGTATCAGTGTATGGGTATCAGAGGAACCCTCCACCTTATTTACATGATAGATTTTTGTGTGATTGGCCTCCAAGTAGCCAATTTTAAATTTTTAGAGTCATTTAGCTAGATCTTACCTTTGTAAATTTGGCTTAGCACCATTTACATTAGTGGAGTTATACTAATTTACCTGAGGTTCTGGCTCTTTATCTTTGATCTCTCTTGCAGTCCTGGTTTCAAGCAATTTCAAAAGCACATTTCAAAGGATCATAAATATTTTCTAAAATCTTAGGCTATGTTTGTTTATTAATCATGGGGGAAAGCAACAATATTTTTAAAATATAACCCTCTGGTTGCTAATTTTTCTCTCAGTAGCACATGTGCAAACAACCTCTTAAATAACAAGGGAACACATACACACAATCATATGTTTGTACTGGAATTGCTAGGGTTCTTCTAGATGGATTACATTTCACATTTACAGAAAGTTTTGGATTTTTCACTTACCCTTTCCTATTACAAAGGAAATAGTCCTGGGGCTGCTTTTTTTTTTTAAATCACTAGTAACAAACTTTGCTTATGTTGCCTGCAAACTCTTAATCTTGCAAACTTTCCTTCCAGAAATAATACAGTTTTACTCAGGGGGGCTGGAACAATTTGTACAGTGGGAATGCTGAAAGCCACTGAACCAAACTGCAAACCCTGTGTATGATGGAAAACACTGCATGCCAGGGATTGCAGCAGTACCCCTGTACTCCTAGATCCAGCACCTATGTTTTTACCATATGCCAGGGACTGCAGCAGTACCCCTGTACTCCTAGATCCAGCACCTATGTTTTTACCATAAGCATTAACTACATTCCTAAAGTAGAAAATCTGAAGATATTTCCCCCTAAAATATGCCAATTCCTAAGGAACAGTGGAGGGTGAGCTAGACAGCTTTAAAAACTTATTCTAGAGGTCTTTAAGTAGCACTGTGGAATGTGACTCAAGGCTGGGTGTGAACACGATGGATTTTTGTTTTTATTCTGATTATTATGGGAGGGGGTTGCTATGAGGAAAATAACCTGGTTCTCATTTCCTGCCCAGACGCTATTAGCTCCAATCTTTGGAAAGGGTAATTCATTGAATCAAAGTGCTTTTCCAAACAGCATAATGTGGTTACTTTTTGTTTGGTAGCTAGAAGGTTAAAGAGTGGGAAGAATGGAATCTGAGGGCTTTTTTAAAAATCAACCTACAAGGAAAGCGTGCAAAGCAGCATGCTATTAATGTTGTATTAGTGATGGATTAACAGCTAGTCGGAATACACAATGGCAAACTAATGAGTTGTTTGGACAGCTTGCCTTTGTACGTCTTGGTATCTGAGAAAATAAACCAAGCAAAGATTCAGGCCGAGACAGGAACTTTAATACTTTGTTAGATTTCTATGGTTTCATTCTACATGATCTGAATTTTTTAGAAAGACGTAGGATCTGACTTACACAATGAAATGATGCACAGCTGACTGATTGTCAGCAGTAGGTTTCTCCCTTCTCGCCCAATATGGTTCAGCTGCTAGTGTGGATATGAAAAAACTATTTCCAGTGTTAACCCGGAAAAGCATCAGTCAGACCTGGTAGAACCTGGCCTCAATTGTTTTTTCATAACAGTGCTGCTCATTGTCAGGAGGAGAAAGCTACGGCCCCTTGTTGGGGGCCAGGAGTTATTTTGTTGTCAGGAGAGCTATTGGCAGATTTGAACATTAGGACCTCTGAAACTTAGTATAGGAGCTTCTACCCTTTGAGCTAAAAGCTAGCTGTCTCTTAGCCCATGTTGTAGAGCTCTGGTCACCAACCTGTTGATCGTGATTGACTGGTCGATCCGAAGGCCCCGACCAGTTGATCGCAAGGCGTTCAGGGCCCCCCCATTACCCCCAATCCCCAAGGAGCCCCCTTCCCACCTCCAGCGACAATGGAGGCAGCGCCGGCTTCCCGCAGGGTGGACAGAAGTCCCGCAGCACCCTGTTCCCTGTCCCAGCACCCACTGGCACCCTGTTCCTGCCCCAGCACCCTGTCCCCTGCCCCCACTAGCACCCTTTCCCTGCACCCACTGGCATCCTGTCCCCTGCCCCCACCAACACCCCATCCCCTCCTGCAGCACCCACACCACTGGCACCCTGTCCCCTACCCCCGACTGGCATCTACTAGCACCCATCCCCAGTTTCATGTCCTCTGCTCCCGCCACCACAGTTGGGCTACATTAGTGCGGTGGGGGGGAGGGTTGGAGGAGTTATTTTTTTGCATCTCACTTGTATGGCCCCAACTGACTTTTCTGTGGGTCAGTGACCCCTGATTCAAAACAGGTTCCCCGCCCTTCTCGTAAATAAAGACAAAGCTGAAACTTTTTATGTCTGACATAATATTTTATTTAAAAATTAAGCCTGGCCAACAAACCCCCAATTGGGGCTAAGCCCCCATCTGACCGCAGCATCATAACACTTCTGTATCATAACACCCCACCCCACCCCAAATCATAACACCCCACCCCACCCCAAATCTGAGCCTATCATACACTGGAACCTCCTGTCCTGAGCCTCTCACATCCCCAAACTCCTGCACCCCCACAGCCCCACAACACCCCTGCACCATCCACACACTGCAAATCTGTGTCCTGAGCCCATCATACTCCCAACCGCCCTGCTCTTTCGGCAACCCCTGTATTCCTCGTTCCAGGAGGAATGAGGGGGCTTCCAAAAGAAGGGACTATTCCAATATTTGGCCCCGTCTAGACAGGCCACATGTTGGAAAAACCTCTTCCAACAGAAGAATAGAAAAAAAAGCTGCAGTGTAGCTGTCCCCTGAGAGTGTATAAGGGCTGGGGATAGCAAGTGATGGAGAGGAGGAGAACAGAGAGAGCGGGGCTTCAGGGAAGGGGTGGGATCTTGGGGGAAGGATGGGGTAGATCTTGGCTTGTTCTGACATTTAGAAAGTGCTCTTGGGCATAAAAAGGTCAGAGACCACTGCTGTAGACGTCTCTTGTTCTTATCTCTTGCTGTGGTCTAGGTGCCACTGCATGGGACAGTGAACCACACTAGGGCTATGCAAGGGTTCTTGTGCAAGACTTCTTGCACAAGAAAATGTCCACACTGCCATGTGCGCGCTGTGCTTTTGCACAAGAGCGCCCATGGCAGTGTGGACACTGTCTTGCGCAAGAAAGCTCCGACGGCCATTTTAGCCATAGGGCTTTCTTGTGCAAGAAATCCCTGCTGAGCATCCACACTGCCCTCTTGCACAAGAGCTCCTGCACAAGAGGGCTTACACCTGTTAAAAAAGAGCATAGCTCTTGCACAAGAAGCCTTCTCTTACCACGCCGTACTGTAAATTTCCTTGCGCAAGAGCGGGCGGGCGGTGTAGACGCTTTGCGGATTCTTGCGCAAGAACGGCCATACTTGCACAAGAAGCCGCGAGTGTAGACATAGCCTAGGTGTGTGGGCTGCACTATGTCAGCAGCAGAGTGTCTCCAACAAAATGCTGTCCACACTAGCACTTTTTTCGGTAAAACTATTATAGGTCAGGGGGTGGTTTTTTTACATCCTGACTAAGAAAATTTTTACCAGTCTGAGTGCAATGTAGACATAGCCTCCTTTAGAAAGTGTGAGCTTTGCC